CAGGGCCTGCCACATACTTGGCAGATGATGACAGGTTTTCTCTAGACTTGGAAATTTTAGAGTAACAGGATTATTTGCAAGTATAGTAAGTTGAAAAGGGTCCTTGTGGAAAGGATAGAGTACTCCATATTTTTTCAAGTATGATTTCATTTTTCTTTTTAAATGAAAAGTTACATGTCTAATATTTTTGTTATACCTAATCCCTTAATCAGAACTCTCCTTTTATGAATAGAGTACATTAACCTTGTGGATTAATTCCTTCTTCCCTAACACCCAAGAAAGATTGAGTAAAGGAGAATAAAATGATTTATAGGGAACAGCACAAGTCAACCCTATCCTGAATATATCTCATCAACTTTACCACATTTGATCAATTGCAACTGAGAGTTAGCCTATTTGGTGTCTTTTCTAGGATACAAGTAATGCAGTACACAAATACCCAATATATGCCCTAGTTATTATCTGCAGATATTTGTGGTGTTAATAGTATTTTTAGATTTTACTGGTTATTTGTTGGTTTGTACTTGATGGTTTCTAAAATAATTTGATCACTGGGTACACCTATATGTGTACAGATTGTCATATTCGGTCTGGAAAATGTCCTGATGGCAGTCTTATCGGACATCTCCTGCTGAATACCTGGAGAAGTCCCTTAAACTTTCAATTTCAATAGCCAATGAGTACTCCAACACAATGTGTGGAATGGAAACACGTGGAAACATTTTTTGTAGTGTACCTCTTCCAAGGAGTTCTGTTTATTAACGAAGGTTAATTCTCTTTGCATCAAACATCAAAGTTCTTAAATATGAGTTTTATCATAGCTTAGAATTTGCTGTTTTCCCCTGGAGATTATGTCTGAGGTATCAGAAAAGTCAAGAAAAACCAATTAACTTTTGCTTTAAATACAATCTGTCAAGATCATGTTTAATCTGTATGAAAAGGCCAAATAATGTGGTCTATGAATAACAGGTATTGTTTTAAAATGTATTCCCTTGATCATTACATCCCTAGCTTTATTTATTCTAGAATCCAGCTAGTATTAGAACTATATTCACTTCAAAGAGCTAAACCCCTCCAGATGGTGGTAATGGAAGCTCCTAAATTGAGTGAGGGGAGGGCATAAGCACACTTTGCAGAACATCAACATCTGCCTTCATTGTTGACATTTGGGCATGACTTAGCACCTCCACCTCCATCGGCCTGTCTCCAGCTGATCAAAGGAGATTCCCCCCCCCCCAAAAGGAAAAGTATTAAACTGGCCACTTCCCAAAGTCTAGGTACACATGAAGTATTTTGTTAAGTGGCAAAGTAAGAAAGGTAAAGTCAGAGTCTTTTATCTTGATGCTCCAATTATGGAAGTAAGATCACCAGTAATGCTGGTTGTGGAGACCCCAGGGGACTGGAGGACCACCTCTCCAGCTTTCTATTCAGTGAGAAGTAAGCACTTTCTCCTGGTCACACAGAGATAGCATGATAGCTTCAAGAAGCTTGGGAGCAATGCATAGAACTTCACAGCCAAAGGAAACTTCAGAAACCATTTCCTCCAACACTCTCATCTTACAAAAGTAGAGACCAGAGAAGTGAAGTGGTTGGCCAAAGTCACCAAGCAAGTGAGTAATAAGACCAACAATCTAGGTTCCCGACTGGGCTTACCACATGACTTTCCCTCCAGGTGGCTCTGTGTAAGTTCACCTTTTTTTCCCTCTCTCTCTTTCCAGAGTTTTTAATGGGTGCATTATTAACTTAGCTTTTAAATCAAGATGTGGGGCATTTAGCAACTTCAAGACTTGGCCCCATTTTGCACAGTGTAGTCAGATCCTTCTGAGTGCTGGAGCCACAGCTGGGCAAAGCCAGCCAGAGGTCTGGGACAGCTGCTCTAATGCCTGTATTTTTCCACATTTAACTAGAGCTTCTAAATGGGCACACAACAACAGCACACTCAAGAAACACAACAGGCAAAAGTGCAATTCTGCATCCCTTTATTTATAAACAAGTTGGGAATGCTGTGTTTGGGAGCAGGAGTGGGGATGGAGAAGGAGTATGGGGAAGGGTACTGATTCCAGTAGTTCACATTATTCAGCACCAGAGCAAATGCTTGGGCATTAGGTCGGGCTTTAACCCAGACAAGTCATCATCGTCTTCTTGTCTTATTATATGTACAGCAGAGTCTTAAGTATGTATGCTCTTCTTATGGCTTTGTCCCCAGACACATTGCAGTGACACAACAAAGAAACTAGAGAGGCGTCTAGAGAAAAGGAGAATTGCAAATGCCTCATAAGCTATTTTTTTTATCAGACAGCCAGGACAAATGCTGCATGGATGCCTGAGAAACAGGCACATGTCTGCTAGTTAGGAGCTCATCTGATTCAGCTGAGCCAGTGATGCCATTTTGCATCTCTCCCTGGGGTATGACTGGGTGCCAAAATAAGTCCTGAAGATGGAGAGAAAACAAATCTATGCCCTTCCTGTTCCCCTCCCCTTCAAGGATGAAATCACAGCCTCTAGGAGCCTAAAACATGGAGAAAGGTTGAAATTCCCCTGCTGTTTCTTTCACCCAGAGCAAGTCAGAAGTTAGGCTCCATCTGTCTTTCTCCTCATGAGGCTGGCTTCCCCTTGCCTTTGTAAGGTCCTGGCACACTGGAGTTTGCTTGCCAGAAACAGGTCATGCAGTGTGACTGTGGTGTTATAATTCCACACTTGTTTAGTTGGAGGAGGGATCAAAATTTGATTTCAGGGTTCCTGTCAGGAGGATGTGGAAGCACTGAAATGTGAAAGGCTGAGAGGCAGGGACTCACACCTGATTGCCACCTGTGCTGCATGCATATCCACTGAGCTTGGAGGTATGTAATAGGAACCTTCCTCCTTTGCCTATTAGGGGCCAAGTTAACCCTGGAAAGGGAACAGAAAATACTGACCCTCCCACTCCCACATTTCTTCACTCCCATTTTTTCCCATCTTCATAACCTGCCCCATCCACAATCCTAAACTGCTCTCATCTAGCTCTTTTCAGTCTGAAGTTTCCTTCCATTTCTACAGCAAAACAAAATCTATTTTCTTGCTTTTTGTAACTTCTGCTTACCTCACTAAGTTTGCAGCATATTTACTATATTTCTTATTCCAGCCTTAACTTGCTCTTGGCCATGACTGTTGACTGGATGGCCCAAACAAAGGGCAACTCCAGTTCCTCCTGGGTGCAGGGCAGGTGGGGGGTAGGGGCTGGGAGAGACTGAGAGATGGCCAAAGATCAACAAAGTTTGGATGGCAGAAATGTTCCCATTCCTTTCTCAGTAGACTCGTGGTCTTAGGAAGGAGGGGAGGTGTTATTAGAGGTTAGGAGGATGAGATTTAGAACCCACTTATCAGTTGTTGGGGCCCATCCCTGTAATATCCCAGATTATTAGTCATTTCCCATAATTGGCAGCTATGGTGGCACTATCTGATGAGTCACATATGTGGCACCTGTCAGTATGCTGTGTAAGGCCTGCAAATTTATAGTCAGACTTGTTTATCAACCACATATTGTTTGCTCCAGAGCAGGACTCAGTTAGAAATAGATCTACCCACCCTGGGACATGGAGTCACAGCATTAAAAGGCCTCCTCAAGAGAGTTTCACCTACAAAATGAAGTCCTGACATAGTTTAAGAGAGTGGATGTTCTTTATCCTCCTCCTCTCTCTCTAGGAGCCTCTTTCACTTTCCTAATTCTCACCTTGTTTCTCTTTTCTTGCCCAGCTGGTCCCCTGACCTTTCACTGCTACAAGTATCAGTCGTGAATTGACAGGCATACAACACATGCACAGTGTGCCCTGGGGGCATGGTGGAAGGCAAAGGCCAAATGGACACAAAGGAAGAAAGGAGCCCTTGCTGCTCTCTGTAGAGTATGCTCTGGGAGGGCCTTAACTGCAAAAAGAACTTTACTTCTCAAAGACCAAGTTCCCGCTCGCCCTCTGTCTTGCTTGAGTGCTTTACAGAGTTCTGGAGAAAACCAGGAACAAGGAGGTTCCAAGCCAGCTTAGCAGCATAGTTTTGCTTTCCAATAAACACCGCTAGTCTCCAGGTGGGCAGGGAGGTAGTTCGACCCCAACACAAAGGGGAAAGACATGCCACCTTCCTTCATCAGTTGCCCCCAAAAGGCTGGCTCCCAAGTCCTCTGAAAAGGGGTGCTTCTGTCACAAGAGGTGCTGGGCTCTGCCCACAAGTTGCTGGTTGGGGCTTCTGCTCAGTCAGATCCCAGCTCTGCCTGACATTACCAGGATAATGAGGCAATATCTACGTCTGCCCAAGAGTTTGGTTCTAAACCTTGATTCTACCTGCTCATTTCCTACATGTGATAAAGGAGCAGTAACTTCAGACAACTCTGTAGGAATCTTAAGAGTCTTCATCCCATTTAACAAAGCTATAGCCAGCAATAACTAGCCCATTCAAAGAACTAGCCCATTGTTCTTTGCAAAACTCTTCAGAACCTGCCTTCACCCCAAAATGTTATGGGAGGCCATGAGAACAATAATAATTTCCTGGTTGGGACAAAATATTTCTACAAGAATCTGGTATGAGCTTTTGACAAAGTGCCCAAGTCACAAGGGAACCAGATGGTTCTTTAGATAAGGATTTCAGCAGGCTATTAGGGTGGAGAGCAGGAGAGGAGTATATCATAAAATGCCACCACCACATATTCATATTGCATATGGTATACACCCTGGGGTGGCATATTTGGAGCATACACAGAACAGATACGTGCAGGTAGCACCCCCTATCAGTATACTATGTGTTTGGTACATCAAACTGTTACTTGAGGTCTATGAAACTGTTAACTGGTCAGAAATGGGAAGAGCCATTCCATAGTAGCATCCTTTAAGGAGAAGCTTCGAGAGATGTTTCTCATCTGCCAAACTTGGAGCCAAAGCAAAGCAGCTCCTCTTTTTTTTATACAGGATGTTTTTCCTTGTTGCAGTTTCCACCGATTAAGGTAATTTCTGGAAAACAATAAAGTCACACCAATAATGAGAAAGTACAGCCAGGAGCACATCAGGACTTAGGTGGAATTCTCCTTGCCAACACTGTCCTCTGAGTGAGAAGTTAGGGTTCACACTAGATCACCTTTTATATCTGATCCAAAGCAAGGTTTTGGCTCTGAGCCATGGTCCTGGCACTGGAAAGATTGGATGTGTTGCCACATCAGGTCTTAGTGGCTGCACTGAGAAGACTGGAATTTGTCTTTAACATGACTATTTCGGAAGCACTTTGCCACCTCTATTGGAAACAAATTTATTCTGGCAGAGCTTGGGTGGTAGGAGGCAACGTGCAAGGCCCTTTAAAGAGCCAAAAGTAGCAGGTTGAGGAAACAGCCACTTCCACAGGTAGTTTACTTGATGGGGATGGGGGCATGGATAAAAGCAGAAGTCACCCTACTCAGTGCAAGTCTCCCTGGGGTGCTCTGCTCCTCTCTTTAGCAAGGTTAAACTAGAGTGATTCTAGAGGATGCTAAGAAGGTTTATGGAGGTTCTCCAGCTGGAAACCTCCATGCTGAGCCCAGCTGGGCCATGTGGAAGATGAGGGAGAACAGATCAACCTTCCCTTAGCAGAGCTCAGGGCCTCCCTATTGAGCTGTAGCTCCCATGATTCTTCCCCTTCAAACACCACCCAGGCATCCCCAGTGCCCCTCCCCCTCCTGTGTGGTGTGGCTCTTGCCTGCCAGCCACCTTTACTTCTCATCCTCATCCCCCTCACTCATGCTGCTGATGGAGGCTGAGGCTGCTTTGGGTGAGGAGGGAGGTGAGGTTTTGATCGGAAGCCACGAGAAGGTGGGTGACGGGGAGCGGGAAGGGGACCGGCTCCTGGTTGGGCTGCTCACAGGGCTCTGCTTGGGTGATAAGGCTTGTAGCATCCGGCTACTCCTCTCCTGGAACATCTGCTTCTAGAGAGAAATTTGAGAGAAGGTGTCTGTTAACGTAGCAGTCTCAGGTGGCAGCAAAACAAAAAGGAAAGACAGGAAGGAAAGACACCACCCCAAAAACCTGTGCCCACATCATAGACTACATTCCATGTTGCCAAAGACCATGAGTTGTAAGGAATTGGCCAAAATTCTGAGCTAGAGAGATGCTGATACATAAGATTACAATCACTGCTAGTTCTTGGGATTCTTTCTTTTCTTCAGTCTACACAATTTAATTGAGTATCTATTTTTTAAATATTATTTTCTAGTTGTAGTTAGACACAATACCTTTATTTTAATGTGGTGCTGAGAATCGAACCCAGGGCCTCACAAATGCTAGGACCTCACACATGCTCACTCTACCACTGAGCCACAATCCCACCCCAAAGTATCTATTATTTGCCAGGCAAACAGTATTGGAGGGGCAGGATAAAATAAAACAAACATCTCTGTCCTCGTGGACTTAAGGAGGTATCCCATAATAAACAAAATATTTGGTATGTCAGATGGAACTGTGTCTGTGAGAATAATAAGATGAGGATATAGCAAGTAGGAGTAGTCATGGGGGGCTGCATTTACAAATGTGGTGCTCAGGAAAGGCCTCCCTGAAAAAAATGTTATTTGAGCAAAGACCTGAAAGAGATGAGGGAGAGACTCTGTTGAGTAGAAACCAGGCAGAAATCTCCAAGAATGAAGCATAGTATGCACTAGGAAGAGCAAGCAGGCCTTGGGGGTGGAGTGGGGTCTGCTGGGTGGGGAACAGGATAAGGGAGGGAGTTAAGGGATCACCAGAGAAGTAGCACAGAGCTGTGCTACTAAGTGTGTTGGCGGCTATTGTGGGAACTCTTATCTTTTACTATGAGAACAACAGGACATGTTCAAGGGGAGGAGGGAGGCCAGCATGGCAGCAGTGGAGAGAGCTAGTGGGAGAGGAGTGAGGGAGGGTTTGGGAGTTATTAGGCTGGTGAAAGAACAAAGGATTGTTTTATGTAGGGCCTTCTCTGAGGAGAAGAAAAACCTTTGGAGAGTTCTGAGCAAAGGAATAACAAAATTTGCTTTTGTCTTCTGAGAAGCAATCTGGCTGCTGTGCTGAGCATAGACTTTATTGAATCAAAGGCAGGAGCAGCGAGACCAATGAAGAACAGACAATCTCAATAAGAATCCAAGGTTATATGGCAGCTGGCCCAACGGTGATGGTGGTAATGATGGTGAGAAAAGGTTGGATTCCCACTATATTTTCTCCATATTTTCATTAAGGTATATTTATTTCACCTTTCTCATGCACAGTTCTATGAGTTCTGACAAACACAGTTGGGAGACTACCAACATGATCAAGGTGTAGAAGAGTTCCATCAGCCCCCAAATTCCCTCATGATCTGGTAGTCATTCTCTCTCCCCACCTCTGGCAACAGATCTGTTTTCTGGCCCCACAGTTTTACCTTTTCCAGAATGTCATCAAAATGGCATCCTACAGTATATGGTCTGGCTTTATTTTGAAGGTTGAGTCAATGGGACTTGCTAACAGATAATATGTTGCTCATAGGAGGGTAAGAAATCAAGTGATTCCAGTTTCTGGAAAGTGGCTATGCTATTTGCTGGGGTAGAGAAGAGTGTGGGGGTGGGAGGAGGTTTGGATGGTAAAATTGGTTTTCCAAACTGGGCCCTCAGGTGACTGTTGCTTGGTGCTTTCAGAAATGAGCCCTTCCCTGACACTGTCCTTCACCTTTCTGGGAAACTCAGTCCTGGCCCCAAGTTCCTGTTTGCCAGGCCTCTAGGTGCTGGCAGCCTACATGGCCTCCTACCCTTTGACTGATGCTCAAACCCCCACACCCAGATGCTCCATTCCACCACCTTCTGAGGGTTCTGCCTATGGTGGCTGGGGTCTTTTGATTGCTCACAGCTGAGTCTTGGCCTCCAAAAGCTCAGTCCAATCTTTTTATCCTAAACTAGCCCTCAAAGCCAATTTTCCTATACATTGAGTATCTTTCATCCAATGCATGGAACCAGAAGTGACTCAGATTTTGAATTTTTAAAATTTTGGAATATTTGCATATACATAATGAGATATCTTGGGGATGGGAACCAAGTCTGAACACAAAGTTCATTTATGTTTCATATAAACCTTATACACTTAGCCTAAATGTAATTTTACATGATACTTTTGTTGTGCATCTTTCCTTTGCCTGTGACCTGTCACATTAGGTCAGGTAGAATTTTTAACTTGTATATCTATTCAATGCTAAAAAAGTTTCAGATTTGGGGACATTTCAGATTTTGTATTTTCAGATTAAGGAAGCTCAACCAATACTAGCCATTTTAGACTTTGCTTATCATTTGGATTATTCTGTTCTGCAGATTATTATGAACATCTTCTGGAGCCTGGGTACTGCACAAGAAGAAGGGGATGCAGAAGACAAGAATCAAGCAGATGGCTATGTGTGATCTGGGTCTTTGATAATACACAGGAAAAGGGATTAGAGTTGATGGTAAGTTTGTGGGGACTGGTAGGGAGAGGACCAGCTTTCCAAGCAGAGGACACAAAGTAGAGAGTACTAAGTGCAAGTTGCTTGGCATGACTAGAACATATGGGGTGACAATAGCCTGGGCCTGGAGCTCCAGAAGGAGGCTGGACTGCCACCCTAAGCTCCCTGGGAAGATGTTAATCAAAGGAGGGCTATGATCAGATTTGTTGTTTAGAAATATCTTTAAGCATAAAAGAAACCATAAAGAAAAATGTCAATGTTTGACTACATAAAAATTTAAAAGTTTGAAAAAATATTATAAAATAAGATAAAAGGTAAATGGAAAACTAGGGGGAAATTTTTGCAACATTTGACTAAAGGGACTGGGGATTTGGCTCAATGGTAGAGTGTCTGCTTAACAGGCATGCGTCCTTGGGTTCAATCCCCAGCACCATAAATAAATAAATAAATACTAAATAGAGATTATAAATTAAAAATAAGGTAAAAACCATAATAAGAAATAAAAATAAAATAATAAATAAAAATAAAATAAAAAACATAATAGGAAAGGAATATGGGATGTTCCATATGGCAATCACAAAAGAAATTTATAAATGAATTATAAACATGTTCAGAGTCACTGATAATCAAACAGATGTAAATGATTGTAATGAGTTGTTTATATATCAGATTCCTAACTTTCTTCAAAAAATTGCAATGGCTACTGTTGATGGATGAGGGCACAGGAAAAGTAGGAGGAATACACAGTAGCATCTTTCTCAGGGGTAATTTGGCAATAGGTGCAAAAGCTATTTTTTTTCTTTCCTGAGGAGATAATCAGAGATCTATGTGAATGTCTATTGTTTATATGGATATTCAGTGCAGTGTCAAACTGACAAAACTGCAAACAGGGCTCAGTGGTAGAATACCCACCCAGTGTATACAGGGCCTGGGTTCCATTCCCAGCACTGTGAAACAAACAAACAAACAAACAAACAAAACAAAAACTCCCTAAATAGGTTAGAGAAATCTCATACAACTCCCATATGAAATACGAAGAAGTTGAGGAAAATCAGGTTCTTAAAAAAGTATTTAATATGAAAAAAATGCTCATGAGCAATTATAAAGTAAAAACAATTTTAGAATATGTTCTGCATGATTTAAATGTTGTAGAAGTAATGTATATAATGTAGAAGGAAAAAGATATGGGTGATGGGACAACAGGTAATTTTTAGTCTCCTTTTAGTCTTTATTTTCTAATAATTCTATAATGAATACAGTTGGCTCTTCATATCTGCAAGTTCCACATCTGTGAATTCAACCAACTGTAGACCAAAAATTGTACTTGTGCCAAACATGTACACATTTCTCTTGTTATTATTCATTAAACAATATAGTATAAGAAATATGTACATAACATTTACATTGTATTAGGTATTGTAAGTATTCTAGAGATGATTTAAAGTGTACAGGAGAATTATATAGGTTATATGCAAATACTACACCAGTTTATATAAGGGACTTGAACATCTACAGATTTCAGTATCTAAGGGAAGTCCTACAACCAATACCTTGCAGATACCAAGGGTTGTCTGTATATTACTTTTATGATCATAAAAATGTATATATGGTAGGAGAGGGGGAGTGCTGGGGAGTGACACTGGCCAGTTTATATTGTTATATTGTGTGCATACATGAATATGTGACAATAAATCATTATGTACAACTATAATGCACCAATAAAAATGTGGAAAGAAAACAAAACAAACCATCAGAAAGTGTATGGTAGGAATACAGGAAGATAATGCAGATGTCTTGGGCAGGGAGATGAAGCAGAAGGGCAGGCACTGCAATGATGATGTAGGAGAGAAAATATTAAGACCTCATGCACATCATCAATTCCTTCAGGCACTCATTTTTCCTTCCTAAGCTCTAGCCCATCACTTTTTAGAGTCTCAAGTTTCCTCTAGTAGATATAAGAGAGATGACTTGCTGATCACTAAAATCCTTTCCAGATTTAAAATTCCATATGCCTATGAATACACCAATTATTTACCTTCCATTAAGGGCACTGATAATTCTGCCCAAAGACATCCAACTCCCCTCAAAATCAAATAAAAAAATACTATAGTACAACAGCATTACTTTAGATTAAGCCCATTTATGAGACAAAATCAAATGCCAAAAGGATCTGGTGGCCTATTATTAACAGCAACATTAAAAAAAAATTCTTGAACTTCTAGCAGGCACTTTAAAATATGTGTTTTTATTACTGTAATCTTTAAGTATATTTTTAGTGGCAGCCATTAGCCCTCCTGCTGTTAATGGATTGTCACCATTTCCATTAGAAACCCACTTTCTAAGAAATCTACATCTTGTCTACTCTAGTTTGAATCAGACTCATAAATGAGAATATTCTGCCTAAGGGAATGAAGGAATTTGAATCCTTAATGATAAACAATGGTGTCACACATCATAAAATGTGATATCCATGCAAAACAACTCCCGGCCTCGATTTGC